TCTCTCTCTCTCTCTCTCTCTCTCTCTCTCTCTCTCTCTCTCTCTCTCTCTCTCTGTCTCTCTATAAACTCATTCTCGACTCTCTCTCTTTCTCTCTATAAACTCATTTTCGTATCGTGAAACAAGTTCGAGATCGATAGATCTCGAATAACTAAAGCCCTGTTTCGGATATTTCTTAATTTAATCCTTCTATTACGCAAACTACAAACAACGATTCTTTTCGATTTTCGCGTTTTCCCTTTTAATCCATACCTCTCTCTCTTTCTCTCTCTTTCTCTTTATAAACTTATTCTCGACTCTCTCTCTTTCTCTCTATTCCCTTTTAATCCATACCTCTCTCTTTCTCTCTTTCTCTTTATAAACTTATTCTCGACTCTCTCTCTTTCTTTCTATTTCCTTTTAATCCATATCTCTCTCTCTCTTTCTCTCTATAAACTCATTCTTGACTTTCTCTCTTTCTCTCTATTTCCTTTTAATCCATATTTCTCTCTCTCTCTCTCTCTTTCTCTCTCTGTCTATAAACTCATTCTCTCTTTCTTTCTATAAATTCATTTTCGTATCGTGAAATAGATTCGAGATCGACAGATCTCGAATAACTAAAGCCCTGTTTCGAATATTCCTTAATTTAACCCTTCTGTTACGCGACGATCGAATCGAGAATCACTTTTTCCAGTCGTCTTGGAGGTGCAGCGTGTGCCGGCGGAAGCTCGCGTCCCGGGACCAACCGATCGTTACGCAGGAATCGACCGATTCGTTGCTCGAGGTTCCGGTCCTCGAGGCTCTTCAAAGGAGGCACAGCGACGCGAGACTCGGCTGCCAGAGCGGAAGCCAGATCGGCGGCCTCGGCTCCGGATTGGCGCCCCCGAGAAGCCCCGAACTCAGAAGGCACTCGGACGTGTCGCCGGCCAGTTTGAAGGAGCTCGAAAAGGTAAGGCGCGGTGTGTCGTTGGATCTCGAATCGTGTGCTTCTCAACGAAACGAAACGCGAAAACCACGTTTTCGTACTTCTTCTGCATCCTATTCATTTCGATTCACGCTTGGGTGTGTACGAGGTGTTTGACTACGGTGAAAAATCTTAAGTTAATCGAAATATTGACAAGTACATTGCTCGTAAAATGATTTTATATACTTTTCTCAATAAAGGGATAAAGATCTAAGAAAGATTCATTTACAAATTAATACCTTGTTAATTGAAGATAACGAAATCCAGTATAAATCATTCAAATTACATGCGCGTGAAACATTGCGGCGATGGAAAGACACGTCAGATGTTAAAATTAAACGTCGAGTCAGAAGATAGAGGAAATCGCGCGATTGAAGTGACTTTTTACCTCGTTCCGATATCTCGATCGGTTGCCGAGATATAAAGACTCAAAACCTTCCTCATAGCGCTTCTATAGTGCAGAGTTTACGAATGGCGATGATACGATTCATTGGCCTATATTTTCTTCGGTGGAAGTGCGTACTATTTTTAGGAATGGTGTCTGTCATTTGTCTGGAACTAGGGAGAGAGGTTAGAGAGATCGAGTGAGAAGAAATTCGAATAAATTAAAAAAAATTACCTTTTTCTTTACACGACGATATCTCGAGAACCGGAAGTCGTATCGAGATAATTCGAAAAGGGCTTTAAAGGGTAAGGTTTCACGCTTCTAACGATCCCTTGTTCGTTGACCGGAAGCTATTATTTTTGAAATTATAACGATTCAAAGTTTTCTTAATTTTAATAGGATTAACCGAGTTTAAAGTAAGTTAAAAATTAATCGTTTCTTTTCAACACGATATCTCGGAAACCGAAAGTTGTATCGAGATAACTCGGAAAACGTGTTGAAGAGCAAGATTTCGCGTTTCCAATGATCTTTTATTCGTTGACCGGAAGTCGCTATCTTCGGAGTTATAACGATTCAAAGTTTTTGTAATTTTAATAGAATTACTTCTTCGATCTTTAAACATCCGTAGTCCAACACCTTGTATATATTATACGCTGTCCATCGTGAGTTCGAGGCTTCGCTTTCACTTTCTATCTACGCTCAAACAGGGAATTCGATTTTAGCTGGACGAAGAAAGAATCCTCGCACGATCACGATCGACGGGGTATCAATCTTATTATAATATCTTGAATAATATATCGACGAAGGAAACGTTAATCCTTGGAGAGATTGTAAGCGATTGTTTGCGGTCGAGAATTGAAACAAATTGCTCGTAACTGTGCTTTGATCGCTTGGCCGTGTGCCAGAGAGGCAACCGAGCACGATGGCCTCCAGCAATTTTATTTAGTCGGAATGTTAACGTGGGCTATTTGTCTTGTTTGTATTATGCTCCGTGCATGCTTGTTCGTGTTTTTTACGCTTCTTTCGTAAAAGTACTTGCTTCGTCCTTGTTTTTCTTTTTCTCGATCGCGAAACAACGACGCGTTCTTAACTTCAATCAGTTGACGAATTAAAATTTTTCAACCAGGATGGAGGTTAACGTTTCGTTTCGAATTTGAATATCGTTATAAATCGATGAAACGTTTAACGAATAAATTTCACTCGAGACACGTTTTTTTTTCCCGAGATCGTCTGCTTGACGTTTCATATAAAATAATTTAACGCGAATAATTTCCTTTAACAAGAGTTCTCGTGCTTGATGGCCAATTTAACTATTAATCGATCTTTCTTAACAAACATTAACCAAGTTTCGAGCCGAGTTTAAATCACGAACAAAAAGTTGGCAAGCGTTTGGACAAAGGCGCGCATGATAAAAATCGTCTCGCGAGCAGCGGAGGGGGGGAGGTCACGTTTTATATTAGATTATATAAAACGACTCGTTAAGCAACCGTGTAATAAATTAAAACTTCGGGTTGGTTGGTTTCCCTTCCGGTACAGATACACCAGTTGGAATTTAACTGGAAATCGGAGGACAAGTCGATACTCGTTACAAGGAAAGCCAACTTTGGAACAGTTGCTTTGAACAGTAATCCTTTGAGAGATTTCATACATCCCTCGCCGTTAACTTGAAAACTTTCCTTGTTTAATTAATTATAATTCTTGTTTGCTAAATTATAAATAATTACATCGCTTGTTCACTCGAAAACTTTCCCTCTTTAATTAATTGTAATTCTTCTAAGCAGTTCGATCAACGCGAAAAGTTAATAATCGCCCTTTCTTACATAATCACACGGAAAAAAAAAAAAATTAATAAACACAATCGATTAAAAATATATTACATTCAATTGTTTCTCTTAACTTAAAACTTTCTACCTTTTACTAAAAAAAATTGAATCTACCTCATCAATGCCTCCTACAATTCCTTTGTCCATCGTTTTCAACTAGTGACTTTTCTCAAATCCATCAAAAAGAAAAGAAAAAGAAAAAGAAGAAACAATTAAAAAAAAGAAAAATAATTAAAACGTAATGATCCGCTCGCTCGAGGGCTCGACCTCGAGAAAAAGAGGAAAAATTCTTCGCGACCTTGCCATTATTATCCAAGTTTCCAGTCGTCGGGATATTGCCCCAAGGTTGGGATATTGCCCATTGGTCCCCAAGGTTTTTGAAAGATGGCGGCTTGAAAGCATTCGAAGTTTCGCGCATCCACGAAAAAACCAATTACGTATATCTTCGAACGGGTACATAAATAGATGACTTTCGTTAAACATTCGTCTCGAAGCGACATACTCTTCGATTCGTTCGAAATGTAAACGTTCGAGATCGATTTTTCTCACGTGTCGTGGAAGAAAAATTTAACGAGGAAGGGAAAAAAAAAAAAAAAAAAAGGAAAGAAAAACGAAAAGTTTCCGTACGAAGTTGAAGTTCGCATTTGCGTCACTCGAGAAGGGGAGGAGGAGTTTTTCGCAGAAGTTTGTAGCGCGACCCACGTAACACCGTTAAACACCGACGATGACGCAAACCGCACCGAAATGATGAAAGAGTTGCAGGACTTGATAATATTTAACCGGATTTAGGAGCTAATTGTGGAGCTGCGCTCGCTCGAAAATTTTATACCAAGA